GAAATTAATAGTGGTAGAGAAATAATGATAGAGAACAGTCATTGAAAAGAATGAATAAGGAAAAAGAAGAAAAAAGATAAACAGAAAAACAGGCAATAAAAGAAGGAAATGTTATAGCTTTATGTCTAAATGTCTTCCCAAAGTCTCATACAGTTATAGATGGGGCTTCTTCAGAGGTGAATAAATCCAGTGTGTTTGATTGACTCACGGGGTAATGCTAAGATAAGGGGGCTAAGGCTAAAGTAAATGATTACTAAATCAGCACAATAATTGATTTGGCAACCCCTAACCTCAGTAACATAAATAAGCCTTTCTTTCTTTAAGTGCTAGATAATTATCTCAGCAATGAGAAAAAGTAAATAAGACAGAATTTGGTACCAGTTGTGGTGTTGTTGTTGTGGCTGTACCTGACCCTGTGGTTTAGGAACCTTTGGAGCTGGCTTGTAGAAAGAGAGTTAAAAGAGGTTTAAAGATTCCAGCTGAAAAAAGTAAAGTGAGAATGCCTTAGGCTACAGTTGATGGGAGATTCTGAGCAGAGCCAAGAAGACCAAAATATTTTTTTTTAAAAACTGCTGATAAAAGCTAGGTTCAAAAGGTTTCTGCTAAGAAGAAAGACTGCGTTGGCTGTTGGCCTCCAGAGAATGTATGTTATGGCTTGGCAAAAAGTTTGTATGCATTTTACTCAACAGACTTTCCTTGAGACTGAGATTAAAGGTAGCAGACTAATTAATCTTGTAGAAAAAATTTCAAGGCAGTCTAATGTTGAGGAGGAGGTATGGCTACTCTTGAGGGCTTTAGCCAGATTTGTGTTGAGAACTAAGAACAAAGAGCCCAGCATAATTCTTTAAAGCAGAACACTTTAAAGCAGAATGCTTTAAAACATTATGAATTTGGCCAAAAGCTAGCTCCAGTAACATTACAGCTTGCAAAGATAAAACAGAGCAGAAATTTATTGCATAAACAAAGAAACAAAAACTAGAAATAAAATTCCAACTATTTTTAAGAAAACAGCAAAAAGGAGACCTTGAGACATCACAAGAACTAACAAGATTCCAGCATTTTCAGCCTCTGAGTTGCAAAGGCAAAAGACTTGGCTTTGAAAAAAGAACCCCAGGGTACCATGTTCCACAATGACAGCAACCTAAAACACTTGGTCCTTAAGATTGGGTTCAGAGTTCTCAGAGATCCAGGGATTCAACAACCATATCTGAGAGAAAAAAGCAGTACTATGGCTCTAGGTCACAGCAGACCTTGGCATCATACAGATGGTGCTGGTTTTAGATGTATGCAAAATGCAAGAGTTGTGGGGTCAGAAAAGTTTCCATCCAGATTTCAGAGAAGACTTTGTAGGTTAGGCAGTGCGCCCCTGGGAAAGCAGTGTGTAAAGCCAAAGGTGAAGTAGAGAGCCCAGAAGTTTAGAAAGGCCAGTAATGTAGAATGTTTAATTTTTAAAAATCTGCAAAGAGAAAACAGATGAGAGTTAAAATCACTGGCAGTGTCATAGGAGCAGATCCATGTAAACCCTTCAGAGTTCACAACCACAGATTGCCAGGGATGCTGCACATAGGTCTATAAGACCTAATATTTGCCCTTCTGGATTTTAGACTTGTTTTGTTTTCATTGCATTCTCTCCCCCCTCTTCATAACTTTAAAATAAAATATCTATGTTGTGCCATTAAATGTTAAAAGTGTTTAACCTTTTCATTTACACAGGAGCTCATGATTGAGAGTTTGCCTTATATTTCTGAGGAGATTTTGAACTTAGATATTTCAGCAATGCTGAAACTGTTAAGACTTTGACAACTCTTAGAGTTAGAGTAAATGCTTTTGATATAAAGAGCTGTGCATGGGTCTTTGGGAGACAAAGGGCAGAAAGTTACAGCTTGTATGATGTTCCCCTAAAGCCTCACGCAGTCATAGGGTGGGGCTTTTCACAGGTGGCTAAAGCTAGTGTGTGTGATTGATTCATGGTACAATGCTAGAATCAAAAAGGCTAAGATTAAGGGTGAATGCTTACTAAATCAGTCCATTAATAGGTTTGTTTCCCTAATCCCAGTAGCCAAATACAATATAAGAAATAAAAAGAGGTTTTTTTTTTCCTCTCTTGCTTGTTTTGTTATCTTCTGCCCATCATGACCTCTTGTTCTTCTCCAATGCCTGTCTGCAAGCCACCTTCCTTGGAGCTTTTAGCTTTAGGCTAAAACCTCTACAAACTGTGAGCCAAATAAACCTTTTCTCTTTTTAACTTTGGGCATTGGGTTTTGTCTTGGTAACAAGGAAAAAGTAACTAAAATAAGAAGGAAGAGGAAAAAGTTGGAAGAAAGAAGATAAAGGCAAAAAGAAGAGAAAGAAGAGGGAAAATCCCAAACCCTGAAATAAAACAGTGAAGCAAAAATAAAGCAATTCAAAATAGGATAATCAAAAAAAAGTTGAAGGGCTGGTGTTTTAGCTCAGCAGTGTAAATACCTGCTTGGCAAGCATGAGATTGTGAGTTCAATCCGGTACAAAAAAAAATAGAATAAAAAATTCTTGTGTTACTTAGTGAGTAGTGTCTTTCCACATTCTGCAGTCTTGGGATCCAGCTAGCACAATTATGCCTAGTTTTAGGGACTACTGGTCTTTGATATGCCTCCTTTGCACTTGAGTCCCGTCTGTTCATTCCAAGGCTGATGTTATTGTTCAAGTCATGGTGTGTCCTTGTTCCTTTTGGTAGTCGGAGAACACATTCAGCTCTCTATCCTTTGCTGGGTATAGTTTACAAGGCAAGAGTTCAAGAGGGTTGTTGGGGTTAGCATTAATAGTGCTGAGTCTGGTTGTTCCCTATTTTCCCCCAAATATTGTCTTTGTCAAGGAGTGTGTTGATTGGTTAGTCTTTGCCTCTGCTGTGTCTTGCTATGCTCCCCTTGGCTTGAGTACCACTTCTCTAATTGTAGGTCTGCCCTCTCACGTGGAGGTGGAGTTCCATTCCTCTGGTATGGGTCTGTTCCCTCACATGTGGGGAGCACCTCTCATCTGTTCTCTTATGTAGGGACGGGGCAGCTCTGCAGGTTTGCTCTCTTACCTGGGGATGGCATGCTGCTCCTTTAACACTGGTCTGTTCTCTCACATGACACTGCATCATTAAGTGTCTGATCTCTAATGTGAGAGTAAAGTATCACTCCTCTAGATGAAAGTCTGCTCTCAAGCATCAGGGCATCATCACTCCTGGTCTGTTCTCTCACATGGGGAATGTGCTGCATGGGTAGCACTCCTCCATCACAAGTCTGCTCTCTCCTATGTGTTTTGATGGAGAAGTTGACATCACTTAATTTCAAAGTTTTTAAGAAAAATACCACTTATCCCTATCATCATATATTTTTCTGTTACTGATTCTGTTATATTTCCCTTTTGTTTAACGGCTTATCCTACTTGATGTATTCATTCCTTCAGACTTTTTATTTTTTGCATTTTTGAACTCATTGTCTCTGTCTAGGACATTCTCAAAAGTATTTTGGAATTGTGGCCATGAAATTTTTAAGGTAGTCTTTTTATGGAGAGGTTTATCTCTATGAATTTTGAAAGACAGGTTTGAGGATCTTTTAATCTGGTTTGAAATATGCTTTCCTTTAGGACTTGAAACACTTTCCTCCAAGTTCCTTGGACTTTAATGTTTGTGTTAAGAAGACTGTTATAATCTTACTGATTTTACCTTTATAGGTGATTTCTTGATTTTTTCTGACAGCTTTTAATATTCCATTCTTCTGTTGTATTTCTGGAATTTTGCCTGTGATATATCTAGTCACAATTATTTGAGGTTTTGTATCCCTCACCTTTGTATTGTATTGTTTCCTACATTTGGAAAGTTTTCTGAAAACAAATATTTCTGTTCCACGTGCTCTTTCCTTTGGCTTTTCTCTAACTCCAACTAATCATGTGTTAGTCTTCTTTGTGTCATATAGTATCTGCTGGATCAATTTTCCTTGCTCTTTTTCTCTTAAAATATCTGTGAGTATATTGTCTCATGCATCAGATCTGTCTTCTAGGTAGGACACTCTGCTTACACTGGTCACTTTTGTTGGTCAGAATAGAATAGAATAGAATAGAATTCATTATCTCTGGGATTTCTGTTTGACACCTTTTTGTAGACACTATTTCTTCTCAAAATTTGTCACTCATGTTTTGAATGGTTTTGTTAGCTCTTATAATTTTTTATCTGGCACTTTAAATGTATAGATAAGGTTTTTAAAAATTAATTCCACTGTCTTTTTGGTGTATGACCTTTGACCTTACTGAGTTGCTTTGGTTCCTCTGGATTATTTTGTATAATTCAGCCATTTGGTATTTGATTTCCTTTTGTTCAGTGCCTTTTCTGCTTTGGGAAAGTCGAGTTTTTGGAGGCATTTTTAATCAGGTGCCAAACCTATGGCACACGTGCTACAGCAGGCACACAAGAGCACATGAGCAAATTCACCATAGCAGCTGACCATCAGATAACAGTTGTTTTTGTTAAACTAAAACCTCAATATTCAGGTCTAATTGCAGTGTTGTCATTTCATGATAAATAATTGAGTTTTAGGTTGCTGTTTAGGCACTCACTCTCTGAAACATTTGGCATGACAAACTCACTAGGAGAGAAATTAGGGAAACCACTTTTTACAACACTGTCCAAAAATTAAATACCTAAGAATCAATCTAATGAAGGAAGTAAAAGGCCTCTACATTGAAAACTATAGTACTCTGAAATGGGAGACTGAAGAGCATATCAGAAAATGAAAAGATAACCTTTGTTCTTGTGAAGAAAAAGCCAACATAGTGAAAATGACCACACATTGAAAATTGTTATACAGATTTAATGCAATCCCAGCTAAAATTCCAAAAGCATGTCCCACAGAATTAGAGAAAACAATTCAAAAATTCATTTGGAACCAAAAGAGATCTAAAATAGCAAAGGCAATTATGGGCGACAAAGGCAAGGCAGGAGTGTCATAGTTGCTGACATTAAATTATAGTACAAAGCTACCATGTTAAAAAAGCAGCTGGTTGGAGTCACTGCCATGTTCATTGCAAGCAAATATGAAGAAATGTACCCTCCAGAAATCGGTGACTTTGCTTATGTGACTAACAGCACTTACACTAAGCACCAGATCAGACAGATGGAAATGAGGATTCTCAGAGTTTTGAACTTTGCTCTGGGTCGCCCACTCCCCCTGCACTTCCTTCGTAGGGCATCTAAGATTGGAGAGGTTGATGTTGAGCAACATACTTTGGCCAAATACCTGATGGAACTATCTATGTTGGACTATGATATGGTGTACTTTCCTCCTTCTCAAATTGCAGCAGGAGCTTTTTGCTTAGCACTGAAAATTCTTGATAATGGTGAATGGACACCAACTCTGCAGCATTACCTGTCGTATACTGAAGAGACTCTTCTTCCCGTCATGCAGCACCTGGCTAAGAATATAGTCATGGTGAATCGTGGGCTTACGAAGCACATGACTGTCAAGAACAAGTATGCTACATCGAAACATGCTAAGATCAGCACTCTCCCGCAGCTGAACTGTGTATTAGTTGAAGATTTGGCCGAGGCTGTAGCAAAAGTGTAACTTGTAAACTTCAAAACTCTATCCACAAATAAAATTGGCACCATGTGCCACTTGTACATACTATACTGCATGCGAGACTTTAATAAAGATTGTTGGGGCATTTTTATTTTTCATACCTTCACTGGTTTGAACATAGTTCCTGTTCTAGGGTAACCTAAACACTGACTTTAAAGGATGGTGGGAATGTTTAAAAACTGCTTCTAGTTTTCCAGGAGATCTGACTAATGTATGATGATTGCCTATATATCTGTCTATTTACTTGGTTCTTCTTTTGTGTACCTGGCTTTTAGTGTGAGGTGGTGAAGATGATACCTAAAGCAGTTCCTTTTGTAGGGGCTCCTGCACCAGGTGCTACAGCACCTGGGGGTACCTCCTGCCTCGTTCTCTTGTAAAGTCCACGTCTGCCACTTCTCCCTAGTCCTCCCTCTGCTCTTCTGTTTCTTCTGGTGGCTGCTGTCCTGATTCTAAACAAACTACATCAAACAGTATTTCTCCAGCTCTCAACTATTATCTTGAAAGCATTTTTTCACTTTTAAAATTTATAACTTTAATTTATATTTGGAGTGTAGTTTTCATTTTGTGTTTGTTTTTATTAAGAAAATAAAACATACTGCTTAAACAAACAAACAAAAAAAAAACCAAAATTATAGTTTCCTTAGGACAGAGGAAAGAGACTGTGATTTCCAAATGTCTATGGTTTCTTGATCTTTGCTGTGGTTTGTATTATGATAACTTGCATTGCTGTATGGTTACATCTTAAAGACTCTTCTGCCTTCCTTAATGTTATTTACATTTTATGCATGCTTTCATCCTCCTCTAGGATGTTTTAGAATGTGAGGCTTTTGTGACCAAACTCAGGGTTTATTGTGAGAGTGAGATGAAATATAAAACCATGTTGATTATGCCAAGAATTTTATAAGATCTTTAAAATGTTATAGTACAAGTTTCTCTTTTTGTTTTTCTTATTTGTTGCCAACCTTGCTCCTTTGTCCATCATATTTCTCACTTTGTTATTTGTAAGCTGTCTCCTTTGTTTTGTATTTTGAGACAAGGTTTCACTATGCAGTTCAGGCTGGCCTTGAAGTCACTTTGTAGCCCAGGCTGTCCTTGAAGTTACAGTGATCCTCTGTGTCAGCCTCTCAAGTGTTGGGATTAGAGGTGTGTGCCAGTTCACCTGGCTAATGCTATCTTCTATATAACTGTTTTTCTCCTATACTTTCTGTACTCACTCTCAACTATAGAAAGTGCTCTCTAGTCAAAAGATTTAATAAAAATATATCTCATTGGAGTTTTAATGAGGTTGTCTTTGAATATTTGTTTTTATTGTTTCATAACAACAAAAATTTTATTTTGGGAAATTATTAATTACTGTTTAAATTGTACATATTTATGGAGTATGTTATAATACAATTATAACATAAATACAATTGTTATAATCAAATCACAGTAATTAGCATTTCCATTTTCTTAAACATTTAAAACATTTTTTCTTTTCTTTTTTTGGTACCAGGGATTGAACTCAGGACCTTACACTTGCCAGGCAGGTGCTAATTCTGCTGACCTAAATCCCTGGCCCCAAAACATTTTTTCTTAACCCTTAAAATTATGCATATTAAGTAGGCGTAGTGTGATATTTCAGTGAATATGTATAATATGTACTAATCAAATCAGTGTAATTAGCATTTCTATCTCCTCATCATTACTTTGTGATTGGAACCTTCAAGCTTCTTCTAGTTCTTCATAAAATATGTCACAAATTATTGTGAACTATCATCCACAATATGCTGTAGACACTTATTCTATTTCTGTTTTGGTAACAAAATATATTATTAAAGATGAATTAACACACACACACATGAAATTTATACTAACTTCTTGAATTTATCTAGAATTTATATTTAGGGTCACAGGGAAAGTAAACTGACCTTTTCTCCCAATCAGTTAACAAAGTTATTCTGAGCACTACTAGATGAACAGTTGATCTCTCCTCCACTAACTTCAACTGTCTCCTCTTGTTAAGCTAAATTCACAACCTTTTGCACCAAAAGCACAGACCTCAAGTATAGTATCTAAGCTGAGTGTAATAATGTAACTCAAGGGAGGAGAAGGCATGGTTACTAGGCTGCAGGATGTATATCTCAAACTAGGAGAGAAAGAGAAGGAAGGGCAAAAAAGCCTCTGTCAAATATATATTCCTTAAGAGCTTCCGTGTGTGTAGCACACAAGCCACTAGCTCTTACAACATTTGGTTAAAAATGTCCATTTACTTTCCTCATACATCATACTAACAAACATCTTATTATGCAGGGTATGTAAGAGATAACCCATGTAAGGAACAGAGGCTTTGGGCTTAATCAGCACCATGTCTTATTCCTGGCCTCACCACTAAGTACCTACATGAACCAAAGTAAGTTTCCCAATTGTTCAGCCTGTTTCTTAATCTGAAATAGGTGCCAATTAATAATAATTAAAGTAATAGTAAATTAAAAATTGTGCTGACTTTCTAATGCTGTGGAAAATAGTTAAGAAAAATAACTTAAAATGTAGAAAGTCTTATTTTGGCTCACAGTTTCAGTCCAAGGTTGTTTGCTCCAGTTGTTTTTGGGCTGATGGTGAGGTATAACATCATGAAGAAAGCATTTCGTGAAAGAATATTATTCACTACGTGGTGACTGGAAAGCAAAGGAAGAGAGCCTGGGTCTGAATATCTCTTTCAAAGGCATGCCCCCATTGACCTAACTTCTACTGACTAATCCTTATACCTTCAAATGTTACTCCATGTCCTAATAGTACCACAGGGCTGAAAACCAAGCCTTTAGCACATGGTCCTTTGGGGAATGTTATGGTTTGTGTCTAGATGTCCAAAACATCATCAAGGGGGAGCTAGCTTCTTAGAGGCAGCTGAACTCAGAGTGATTGGTTCATTGCCTGTTGGTGGGATTAGTGATGTAAGTGTTATATCTGTCCTAGGGCAGGTAGCCTGCATACAATATAAGGGAGGAAAAAAGCCTTGTTCTCGGCTCTTTTGCTTCTCCTGCTGGTTTTGCTCTCTTCTACTGCCATGAATGGTTGCCCCTCAGTCATGTCACCCTGCCTTGAAGCCAGCTGAGTATAGACTGAAACCTCCACACACTATGAGCTCAATAAACCCTTCTTACCTTAACTTCGAGAGTCAGGTATTTTGTCCCATAAATGAGAAAAATAACAAAAGACAAAGGTCATTTAAGATGTGAATCATAATATAAATAGTAATAGTAATCCCTATCTGAAGGGAATTGATGTGAGGATTAAAGAGTTAATGTATTTCTTAAATATTTTTAGTGCATGCTTCTGGTACACAATATTTACATTCTTTGTGTTGAGTGAGTACATATACATAACACACTTTAATTCCTTATTTCACACACTTACTCTCCACTTTCTCTCCATCCCTCTATGTCTTGATCCCCTTCCCATTTGAGAAAGATCTTTCTACTTCATATTATCTTTTATTTTATTTTTGTTTATAATTTGGGTTTCACATAGAAGAGAAATCATGCTATATTTAAGTTTGTCTGATTTATTATACTTAACATTATGGTCTCAAGGTACATTCATTTGCCTAAAGCAATTGAAAAGTTTCTTTATGGTACAGTAGTACTCCATTGTGTGAAAACATCATGTTTTCTTTATCCATTTAACTAATGATTAACAAAAGGCTAATTCTAAGATTTAAGAACTAGTGCATTTAAAGGGATTATTCTAGGGTGCCTGGCTAAATCTTCAGTAAATTATAGTTACTTTGATTTTAATTTTTATCATTACTGTGTTAGAATAAGGAAGAGAAATAAGCTTCAACAAAGGGGACTGAGATATAAAAATGATATGAAAGGAGTAAGCTAAGAAATCAGTGTCATGAAAGCAGGAAAAGTAGTATCAAAAAGGAGAGAGATGATTCAAAAGGAGATCACTCAAATGCTATTTTCTCTTGAAAGAGTCATTTTCTTCTTAGTGACAAGTGGCAGTAAGGGTAGAAAAGAACAAAAACAGTAATTTTGAATTTTAAATTATCATACTCATAATTCTCTAAAAGCCTTCTTTCACTTAACTCTATTGGTCAATCTGGGTCTTCTGTGTCTTCCTATAAGGGAAAGCATACATTTCTTGAATAAAGGAAAAGACAGTACCACACAATGTGAAACAGAAATAACACCTTTGCATTATTTTTGGCAAAATAAGAATTTACATAGTTTCAGGTTTATAAAACAGAAAAGAGGATGGGGAATGGAGAAAAGGGGATGATTATAGAGCAGGTTTCTGAAGCAATGAAACCTCCACTTTAACTCCTGTGAAAAGGGGGTGATGGTAGATGTATTATTAATGTACTTTAATCTACCTAATATCTCAAAGAAATTATGACTGTATAAACTATAAATCTAGGTAAATCATTCAATGAAATTGATATAGTAAAACTTTGAAAAAGTTAGTAGGAAAACCAGGAAGTGGAATATATTCTAATCTGAGACAGATGATCTATCTGAGGGTAGTATATCAATCTTTTTCTTGTTAATGGGACAAAATATCTGACACCTGTAACTTAAAGGAGGAGAGGTATATTTTGCTTCATGGTTTTACAGGAATTAGCCCATAGTTGGCTGGATCTAAGGAAAAATAATATGGTGGAAAGGAATAGTGGAGGAAAGATGCTCAAGCCATGGCATGCAAGAAGCAGAGAGAGAAAGGAAGAGCCAGGAAGGGACACATACCCCTTCAAAGGCACACTCCTAGTGACACATCCCTTCAGTCTCTACCTTCTCACAGTACACTTAGCTATGAAGTCATCAATGGATCAAGCCACTGATGAGCATGATGCCCCTAAGATGTATTTTTCTGAAAACCCTACTTTGAATGCATGAGACTCTTGGGGAACATTCTAGATCTCAACCATAACGGGTAGATATGGGAAGGGTAGATAGTAATAAAGGATTCTAAACCTGTAACAGTGTTGGGGCCTCTGTACTTTAGGAACCTGAGTAGTGTTGTTTCCTGCTTGGGTAAGGTCTGTATTGGCTCTGAAGAGAGAGAGAGATGGCTACCAGAAGCCCAGAGGTGCTCCAGAGGGATGTAAGGAATAGACTTCTTAAGTCTTTGCTCCAGGTTAGTTCTCAGCTAAAGGATCATTTGTTAGCAGATAACCCCTCCTAGTTTCTTTTCTGGCCTTCTGGGCTAACTACACTGAGGGTTAAGTATGACAAAGAATGGTGAGGGAAAGTCAGATAATGATGGGCAGAATACGGGAGGTTGAGCCTCCAGAGATCTCTACTGAGAGACGTGTGGCTCCGGGTGGGGTGGCACATTTGGAAAGTGAAATTGTAGCAGAAGGCATGAAATAGAACATCAAGCCAGGGAAAGGAGAGCTGATGGGTGTCATTTTGGGAAGAGAAGCACGCCAAGATGGATGCTCAGTGAGGCAGCCTCAGGAATGCACCCTCAAGGAAGCTGTGATATTGGTGGGTAGCATATTTCAACTTCAACTATATGTAGGTGGCTTGTATTGTAACCTTACAGACAGTAGGAATACATGTCCTAGATTCTCCATCTTGAAGACACTCCCTTAAATATACTCAGTTACACCTTAGAATACATCTCAATTTCTCTGAGTTCCTGTACTCCACTTTTGGGTGCATTCTAAAATCTCCATCTAATAAACCCTTCTCATGTCTCTTACTGATGTGTCCTGAAAATTCTTTTTTCCACAGCAGGAACCAGAAAACTTGGAAACTTATCCTACAAGGGTGGAATGGGTTCCTCAGATCCAGCCTAGGGATAGTATCACAGTCATTAAATTAGGTGCTTAAACATAATTGGGTTAATCAAATGAGAGAAGCCAGGTGATATTCCTGTGTGTGTAGCTCTTTTCACTTATATTATAGTTGAAGGAGCCATTCATTTTCTTAAAAAAGACTTGAATTCATTTTTTTATGGCTGAATACCACATTTTCTTAACCCATTTATAAACGAAGAGTAAAATAGAGGTAAATTTTAAATCAGGAAAAAGGATGGGGAAAAGGGAGGGAAAAGGTAGAGAAAGGGATGTTAGAGGGGAATGGGGATCAAAAACTATCAAGACATGTAAAATACCTCAAAATGAATATAAATGATACGTATTGCAAACGTATACCAGTAAAAGTTACATGTTTAAATGTATATCAATTGATGAGAAGTCAACCAGATGTGTTGTGTGGTTAAAAATATACTGTATAGAACACCACTTATATTTGATCACATTTATCTATACATGTATCTATCTGAAAATGCAGGTAGGGGAAAATAGGAATTCATCAAAGGACTAACAACGGTTAAAAAGTGGTGTGACTTTTCAGATAATTTGTATTTTAATTTTTATATGTTTTCTCTGTTTTTGGAAGGCTGAACAGAGATGCTCTTTTCATAAACAGAATACAGTCACCAAAGCAAAATATACAGCGAGAATAGATCCTTAAGCAGTCAGAGAGAGGAGAAACAACAGAGGTCAGGGCATTCCTCTCCACTGTGTTGATATGTAAGATATCTTTTTCCAGCAAAACTATTATTCTTTGTTCAGAGTGATTTTAGTCTGCTTTGGTTCGTTTAATCTCAACGAAAATGAAGATATGGATAAATGCATATATGTTTTAGTGTATAGGATTGATAACCATATTACTAAGTTTTTATTAGATAGTTGAACAGAACTATTTGCAGTCTTGCTGTTTGAATTCCCATTTATATGTTCCACTGTTGTATCTTGAACAATTATTTGTAAGAGGACAATATGTAAACATCAACTACTGATTTTTTACTGTTTTTTTCTCTGAAAGTATGCATTATTTCTACCCGTTTTCTGTTTGTTTTTCTTTAAATAAAATTTTTTAAAAAGATGTCTTTTTGCTGACAAAAGGAAATTACTTTGTGGATTGGTTCTTGTAGTTTGAAGCCTACCTCCTTACTCCTGTTTTACTCATCAATAGCATTGGATGTGGCTCTGACAGTTCCTTGTGTTCCCTAGGGACTTCTTTTGAAATCTCTTCATATGTCTCAGCTCCTGTAGAATAAAAAACCTGGGCCTTAGTTGTTACTTTCATTGTCACAGGTTTATTTTGAGTGGACCTCCTAAAGACTGACAATAAGTACAGTGGATTGTGTACTTTTGCCTCCTGGTTCTACACATAAACCTAGGATCATCGTTATGGCCAAAACCACTGGGCAAAGGAGACTGAGCCCTGAAGTTACTGGCAGAATCAATAACCAACACTTGATCCCATCATCGTTTTCTGCCTCCAAGAGCCATACTTAAGGATAAAAGTAGAGGATCCCCAGACTCTGCCAGGATCACATCCTAATCTGAATCATCAAGGGTAAGATCTATTCCTATCATGTTCCAATTTCAGTCAGAACTTTCAATCAGTAACCGCTGGGAATCCTGAAATGTCACAGGGTTTGCTGTTCTCTCTATTGCTGGCTTAGATCTTCAGGGCCACTTCTGTTTAACAAAAGTGTCACTCCAGTCCTCCTCCTCTCTTATCATTTTGTTCAACTCCAAGAAATTGAGAAGCTGCTCCTGCTTCTCGTTTGCTTATGTCCTGAGAAGTTGCTTAAACCTTAAGCATAGGCCCTTACTCGGCTCAGCCCATGCCAGGAGCTGGTGCAAGTGAGTGTGGCTTGTAACTTTCTCAGCTAGGATGCCTACCTGAATAATATTCTGTATCTGCACTTCTAAGTGGACCACAAAAAAGATTTTCTCCCAATGTACATGCAGGATGTTAAATTTACCATGGGTAGTCACACTGCTTTCAGACTCCTCACCCAAACACTAATTTCTTGCCAGCTAAAAGTTTACCACATTTAGTTTGGGATTGGCAGCCTGGAACAAATGCATTCCCTCTCAGGCAGAGGCCCTAAGGGTTTTCTTTAAGCACTTGAACTTCTGTTCTAACATATTCCAATCTGGCAGGATTCCCTTGACTTGAGTCAGTCGCATATAAAAGGTTTATTCTCCCTGGACTACTCACCACCTACTAGAGAGCAACTTCATGTTTCCTTCTGTCATATAGATTATTAAAGAACTAAGTTTCCATTCCAGAGACCTTATCATGGAATGGGCCTCTGGTGGCAAGGGTGCATTTGGCCACCAGCTGTTACTAACACATTCAAGGGTGAATGAGAAAAATAGGGCATCTGAACACAAGATTGGCTGTCTTTTTGTTTAAGCCTTTCTGCAAGAATACCCAAAGCAGTGTTCTTGGTTTGTGCCTTCCCTCTATTTTAGTAGGAACTGTAAGAAGAAGAAAAAAATCAAAACTTAGTGGGCTGTGAGGAACACATCTGCTCTAGAATTCTCTACCTTTCTGCAGTGCATTTTGTATCTACCTACTGCACTGAAACTATCATGCAGGAGACTGGAAATCACCTTCCCACCTATTCTTCATAAAAGATAGCAACTGTTTCTTAGAATTCTTTGAAGTTGACATTGAGTTCTCAAAATAGGACTCAATATTGTAAGTCTCAAAGATTTATGGTAATAAGTAAGATTTCCATTAACCTCGTGGTCTTAGGTTTAGCCACACTCCTCAAAGTTTCCATTTATTTCTCAGATTCTTACAGGAGTTCAGAAACTAGTGCTCACCTTTATTTGACTTTCAGCCATTGCAGCTAGTGCCCTCCAAAAAAGAGAGAGCAAACATAAGAATGTGGTCGACATCTGTCCACAGGAAGTCTAAGATCAGGTTGCTCAAGGAATTAAGACTGGGCCATAGCTGAGAGAAGGGGTCAGAAACATCAGAAGCAGCCTCATTTATTATCCAGCTATTTCTCTCTACTGTGGCCAGGCAGAAAATTCCCTATCCCATCTGTTAGATACAAAGCAGCATCCTTTTCCCTTTGAGAAATCATTGACCTATGAGTTATGCAACCAGCTGCACAGAATTCAAGTTCAGAGAATTTTGGTGGGCTGGCACTGAGAAAGGGAATAGCAACTTGTCATGCTCCCACACCCCTATTCCTTCCCAAGAAGTGATGAGTTGCAAAGGGGGTTTGAGGCACACAGCTTCTGAGTCTTCTGCCACTTCCCAGAAAATGTCTCCCTCCCCAACCCATGCAAATCCCACCTACTAGACAGTATCCACGTGAACTCACCTTTTACGGCACAGCTGGACCACGGGACTACTTCTTCCCCTGCCTGGCAGTAACAGATTTTACACACCATGAATTGCCTTCAAACTGGTGTAGAGTCATCCTGCCACGCAATCGCGCCCTGCTTTCTTTATCTAGCATACCCAGGTAGGCGGAAGATGATAGGGTGTCACGGATGCTTGGGCGTCACAGATAGCCCTGTTTCTCCTTCCGGTTTCTGAGGTCCTGCAAGGAAAAAGGGTGACTCGTCCTCGATCACTAACCAAGTCAGGGCTGCCCCAGCGAGCTAGCTTTCAGCACCGCTGCCCAGCAAGGGGTAGCAGAATCCTGGAAGCGCTGTTTCCATGGCAGCCGCGACAGCACCCGCCCTCCATTTCCGCCCACCCAGTAGCAGTGACTGCTTTTAGCTTGTGCCCATTGAGACAAAAGAGCGTGATGAGCCCAGTGGTACAACCAATCAGCGGGGCGCGGGGTTGCCTCCCCGCGCAGCCTCCCGTCTCAAAGCTAATGTTAAAAGGAGAAGGGGAGCCGGCCTACCCGGCTGCAGCGACGGGTGCTGGAGTTGGCGTGTACTCAAGTACGGCTCGGAGACGCCAACTGGGCCCACTTTACCCGTGAGTTTGTTGCTTCCCCTCGCTTCGCTTCTGCTTATCCCTCTTCCGCCTCTGCTCTTCTCCGCTTTCTGAGGCCGGATGCTTTAAACAAGAGGTGGGACAGAAAAGAAGTGAACAATGAGAGTTCTTTACCTTTGCATAGGGGGAAGGGGAAAAAGCATTTGGTGAGCGTTTTCTGCGTGCAGATGTACTTGCGCAAACATCTCATTTATTTTCAGCAGCCTTATGAAGGAGTTAACAGTTTGTCCATTTAACTTAGAGGGCTTCATAAGCATTCAGGCAGAATGGTTAGGAAGTACAGAACCAGGTGCTCACACTCAAGTAGTCAGCTGTAACTTCAAAGACTGTCCCGGAGAAGCATTCCTCTGTAGGGTCACATTAAGAGTTAGTGGAAAAAAGCCAAAGTAAGATGGGAAGACTAACTTGGGAGGACTGATTGTACTAGCCATGTACAATTATTGAGCAAGGACTATTATCTCCATTTTAAAGATGAGGAAACACCCACAGAAAGCTTGGGCGTCCTGCTCTGTATCTTACAGCAAATAAGCAACGGCATCTGATTGTGCATGCTGGTCTCTTCTGTTGATGCCATCTCTTTGCCCAACTGTGCTGCCCAGGGAGGATTTTACATAGGTAAGTCTCTAACCATCCCAGAAGCCATTTTGATATGATGGTACTGTTGAGGGAAGTATGAGAGAACAGGAGGGGAACCTGTGTGGTACCCATTGCACAGAAGAAAAACTGAGGCACCATTCTTTCCCATCTTGTATTTGTCTTTATAACAGTGTACCTGTTTATAAAAGTAACATTTTAAAACTGGGTGTGGGGGAACACTTCTATAATACTAATGCTTGGGAGTCAACGGCAGGAGGATCACTGAGTTCAAGGCTAGCCTGGGCTTCATACATTATTCAAGGCCAGAACACAGCAAGACCCTGTATCCCCCCCCCCCCACAAATTTTCAATATCGCATTATGATCCCAAAGAGATAAAGCTCAGAGAAGTGAAATTACTTATCTAAAATTATGTGGTGAACTCAAAATTTAGACTGAGTTTCTGAGTCCAGAACTCACGCTCTCAAACAAAATGTTGGTATCAACATAATTGTGGAGAATTTGTTAGAAAGGCAGATTCCTGAGCCCCACTGCTGGGGATTTTGATTTACTAGAGGAGTGTGTTTCGTATTTTTAAACATTGCTGTAGTTGATTCTGAAGTGTACATAGGTTTGTGAACTAATTGTTCTAAACACCATATCACACTGAAGGTTATAAGTAAATGGGCCTGCAACTAATGTATCTGCCCACAGCATATCTGTCATGAAGTGATAGTCTAGAACAGTTTCCTATCTGGGCACTTTTTTGAAACTTTGAACTCTGTGCATTTTTCTGAGTCCATAGCTTTGTAGACATTCAAATGACTTTGTGGTCCCCAAGTGCCCAAAACCACTTTTGCTATAAAATTTCTTCATAACATCTTCCTCCTTCAACTTCTGCTTGAGGAAGAAGCATGAGAAATGAAACACCATTTGACCTCACCCCCCACCCCCACCCCCACCACAACTCTCTGCTGCTGATATGGCTCTTTTATTTCCTGGCTCGAGGATACGTTGCTAGGTTGCCCTTCTGTGAGCACTTCAGGGGACTTCTCCTTTGCTGGACTTGGCATCATTGGCCCCAGAGAAGGAGCAACTCCATGGAAACGGCATGCAGGGCTGTCCAGAGTAAATCGGCAATGAAGCCAGAGGCTAGAGAACCTGTTCCATTTTCCCTGACTTTAGAGTTCTTAGAGAGCAGGTATCACTTCCTTTATATAGACTGGTTAAGAGGCCCTGTAGGGCTTCTTCACTCCTGATGCTTGAGAGTGAGTAAAGGGTCTGGTACCCTTCATTTTCAGCCTGTTAAAGTGGTTCACTTCTTCCCTTCTGACCTCTTGTTTACAACTCCATACCTAGAATTCCTTGGAGTAAACAGCCTATATTTGGAGAGAGCATATTCCATCACAAAGTTGTGGTCTTGTAGATGGAACAGAAGGGTATTGCTAGTGGAGGGTAGAAAGTTGTAGTGGAGAGTGTTAAAAAAGATACAAAGAAGGTGCTCACTCACAGTCAGGCCGGTAATAGTTTGGTTTTCCTTCAAACTTTTGCTTCTGCTTGCCGGTACCATGGCATCTCACACTGGCCTTTCTTGTTCTGTATTTGGAAAATCACCATATTAGGTATCTGCAGTTGGAGCTGGTGAGGGTAGAATCAGATAGGTCCAAAATACCTGCAGAAATTCAGAGTTCTGATAAAAATACTGAAAGGAAGTAGATTGGGCAAAGACTGGGCCATTAGAACAAAATAAGGGTGTTTCTGAGCAGGATTGAAAGAGTACTTGCAAATTTGCAAGATAGCTCCAACTGGATGCAGAACATCATCCCTTATCTATGATGTCATATATTGGGAGTATGTCCGAAATGATGGTTTTAATGAGATCACACTTTCCAATTTCAATACATAAAATTTAAAAACTTGGAGGTTAGGAGATAAAGCTTTCAGATGAAACCATAATAGCTACTTTTGGCTGTCTGCCTCTTCTGTTCCAGGTACTTTTCATCTTCTATTTCATTTAAGCTTTTGAGCAGCCCTGTGAAAACAGGTACTTGACTGGATTGTAAACATAGTAGACAAATCACAGTGTTCAACTGATAGCTGCTTAAGACCAACTCTAGGCACATTGTTTACTTTGGATTTCATGTTAAAAGGCTAGGCTCTCCTAGATTGTTTAAATTATACCTTTACATTCATGACAAAAAATTTCCTTGCCTTCCATAGGAAAACAGGATTTACTCCAGTATGACATTTTATCTGGTTTTGGCTGGCTTGTCCCGTAGAAGCATGTGTTCTGTGAGGACGGACAGGCAGATCAGGAAGCATCTTTTTTCATACATTGTATTACAACTACCGAGTCATGGATTTCAACCCTTTATCTCATTTTATTTTATTAATCTTTGTAGAAACCTTTTATGGTAGGTCTTATTGTTCCCATTTTGTAACTGAAAAATATGAGCATGAATGAAGCTAGTGTCTTTCTGAGATTACACAGTTAAGTAAGTAGCAAAAATAGAATTAAGTGTCAGATATGGCTGCTTCCAAAGCATCTTAAGAGGAAAATACACAGGAATGGATTTCCTTTCCCCTATAAAATAAAAAGAATTAGATCTACAAAATAACAAGTTAAATATTAAGGTAAAGTGTTTCTAAATTATTATTCACCTTTAATCTCTCAAAATGATTTGCATAAATGGCAAAAGGAGTCAGGGATAGAAATGTAGAATTTCTCTATCAACCATTTTTCAGAATTACTTTACCTCCACCACTTATGACATTATAAAGTTATGAGGATGCTTATGGCAGCTTATGATTGAAGCCAGTGAATTTCTAAAGGTCACACAGAAAACTGATAACGTACCTGGTGCTTAGAATGCTGTTCTGCCAAATCCAACTGATTTTTCATAATGTTAAATTAGCCTGCATTGGAAAGTCAGTAAACATGTATTTATAAAATGCTGAGAAGGGAGTGGAACATGACTGCACTCTGAGGTAGAAGAGGAGACAAGCATTTATATTGCCACCTGTGCTTGTAGGTACAGTTATGACTTGGGAAAGAAGACTGTTGGTAGAAGAGCTGAGAGTTTGAGGCCTCTCTTAGCTTCCAGACAATAGAATACTCTGAACTGAGTATTCATTCTTCTCTTTGTTTTGAGAGGGAGCCTGACTCTATTGCCAAGTCTGGTCTCAAACTTCTGGGCTCATGTGACCTTCCTGGCTCAGTCTTTTAAGTGCTGAAACTACAGTGTGTACAACTACGCCTGGCTCTTGTTTTGTTTTGTTTTGGACTCCAGAGTTGCTTCCTATTTCCAGTCTGTAAGTTGCTTCTCACACTATTGTACCTCCTTTCAGGCCTTTCTGGGATAGGAACAACAGTTTGGAGTCCTTGTATTACCTTTGCCCTCTAGTACTGTGCTTCTGAACCCAGATGAGTTTTGCATCTCAAGGAACAAATAACCATATCTGGAGATATTTTTGATCATTTCATTTGATAACTCTCCACTGATGCTACTGGTGTACAGTGAGTAAAAGCCAATAATACCACCAAATATCCACCAATGCACAGGCCAGGCACTAATAATGAAAGTATCATCTTACTTAAAATGTCAACAGTGCCAAGATTGAGAAAACCTCCATCATATGCCTACAAGCCTAAAAGGTTAGGCTTGGAAATGCCAGGTGATGAGCTTCCTGGCAATGAGTAGCTGCTCTTACTTGCCCTCAGGGAGGGAGGAGGTAGGATTGCCATGAGCTAGGTACAGTTTGAGCACAAATCTACAGAGGGAAGAGAGGGAAGATTTACCCCTTCTCAAATGTATTGCCAATTTTTAGAGAAAGTATTGCACTACAACTGTTGAGCAACTTTTAAAAACATTTTGGGGTATAGGATTGTTGCTCAGTAGTAGAGTGCTTGCCTTAGCCCCAGGTTCAATCCCTAGCATTGTAGATAACAGCAATCAAAATCTTCTGAAAAGGAGATAGAGTTTATTAGCTTAGTAGTTTACAAAATTTGAAGTGAAATTTGAATATGATATATTTGGAGTTCTCTTTCTCTGGTTTAATAGGTTGCGATTCTTTGAATACTGGAATATTTATGTGTCAGCAAAATACTGCAGTCATGACTGTTAAAAACTAACTGCCTTTATTTTATTTTAAGGTTGATTTTTTTACAGTATTGAGAACTGAACCCAGAGGCATTCTACCACTGAGCTACATCCTCTGCCCCCATCCTTTTTTTGTGATAAGGTCTTGCTTGCTTGGGTGCTTGCTTGGGTAAGACTCAACTTGGAATCTTCCTGCCTCTGCCTCCCTAACTGCTGGAATCACTGGCATGCACTATGATGCCCAAGGTTGTTTAATGTGTTTTTTAAACAAATGCATTTTATGTATGTTTGTGATACATAATAAATACATTAATCGTGTAAAATTGGCACATAGACATAAGGTAACTTGATCTGTTTTACTTTCCCTTTCCCTTCCCTCCCATTGCCTCCCCATCCTCAGATCCTTTTCCCATTAACTCAGCCTATCTCCATATTTACTATTATCTTTTATTTTATTCTTTAAATTATTTATACCCTGATTTTTTTCACATAAGAGAAAACGTGATATTTATACTTATATAACTGATTAATTTCACTTATCAACATTATGGTCCCAAGGTACAACCATTTTTCTATACATGACTCACATTTATTACATTTTATAGCAACATTCCATTGTGTATAAATACCACATTTTCTTTATCCATTCATCTGTTGATGGGCACACAGCCTACTTTTAAGATTTAGCTATTTTGAGTTGTGCTGCTATAAACATGAATATGCATGTATCACTGTAATATGATGTTTTTAACTCATCTGAAAAGATACCCAAAAGAGGTATGAATGAATTCTTAATGTCTTAATAAGATGTCCATTTCTAAGAAACTGACCCATAGAGTTGCTTGTTTCCTTAGACGAGAGTTTCTTGGAACTCTGTTTCTAACCAAGCTGTGAAAATGCTTATCAGCAGATGGAAATCATCAGGCTAACCTCTTTTTCCCCTCTTGCCAGCTTGTTCCATCAGTACCCAGTTGTCTTCAGCATGAGGGAGCAGAACTACTCTGATGGGAAGGAACTTCAGCATAGAACACAAGCAGAAGCTCCAGGAATAAAAAGCTGGACCTCCCAGGCCTACACCCTTGGGGGCATTTCCAACTTTGTGTCTACTTTTCTGACTTTTCCCATCTATAAGGTTGTGTTCCGGCAGCAGATCCATGCTGTGGCAGTGTCAGAAGCTCTGAGACAGCTTTGGCATGAAGGGCCTCAGTACTTCTACAGGGGAATCTACCCGCCTCTTCTTTCCAAGACACTGCAAGGGACTCTACTGTTTGGGACTTACGATAGTCTGCTGTGCTGTCTCTCCCCAGTTGGGCCACACTCCCTGAGACACCGCTGGGCTGCAGGACTCATGTCTGGTGTGGTGGAAGCTCTGGCACTGAGCCCTTTTGAAAGAGTGCAGAATGTGCTCCAGGATGGTCGTAAACAAGCTCGCTTCCCCAGCACCTTCAGCATTCTCAAGGAATTCAATTCTTACGGTTTTTGGGGGCGGCTGTCCCTGGGATATTACCGTGGTTTCTGGCCTGTCCTCGTTAGGAACAGCTTGGGCAGTGCTCTCTATTTCTCTTTCAAGGATCCTATCCAGGATGGCTTGGCAGAGCAAGGCCTGCCCCATTGGGTTCCTGCCTTGGTATCTGGTAGTGTCAACGGAACAATCACTTGCCTAGTTCTATATCCTCTGATTGTGCTAGTTGCCAATATGCAGTCTCATATTGGCTGGCAGAGAATGCCAGGCCTGTGGGCCTCTATGCAGGATGTGTGGGACACTCGGGGTCGAAAGGTACTCCTGATCTACCGAGGAGGTTCTCTGGTCATCCTAAGGTCCAGTGTGACATGGGGGCTCACTACTGCTATCCATGACTTCCTGCAGAGGAAGTATCGCTCCAGGAAAGAGCTCAAAGGCTGATTACCTGCAGGCAGTGTGTCATGTCATCTTGGTTCTTCTGAATCTTTCCTGGTTAGTTTCTACATGGTGTCCTTCTTTAGGCTTGGTTACCTAATACAGATATTCTTTAGCATCTGTCAACCATCATTGCATGGTAGAAGTTCCCAACTATCAGCATATTTGACACAAAGTCTAACAATATTTCTTGGTTAGAACAAGACAGTTATTTCAATCTATCCCGAGTTTCAGTAGCCTGACATCCAGGAAGCCCTTAAATAACTTGTAACCCAAGTTGAATGCCATTCCTTTAAGGGATTCCTTAATAAAAGAAAGCTTAAAAAGATGACCTTACTTATGCTTTTTGAGTTTCTGTATCCCTCCATGTATCTTCCAGGCCAAACTGAGTAGAACTCCAATTGTGAAGAACTGTTATTCACTCTGAGATTTCCATAAAACTTCTCAGACAGCCACATTTTCATGTTGTTCAGTGGCCCTCCCATAGTCACTGTCACATCTTCAGGCTGTAGTCTTAGTTTCAGGATAGCAGCTGTGACTGGAAAACCTAAGTTGGCTTATTTCACTCATTGGTTGTCACAAGAACTGATAGGGCTAGAGATGGGAGTAAGAAGAAATGTGGCCCTGGATACAAAGAATAAAGAATTTGAAGGATGACATTTAATTACATGTAAACATAGGCAAATTTATTTTACGTTACTTAATGTTATCCACTGGAATATTTTTGATGGCAATAACATTTCCTTGCTGAGAAACTGAGTTTTCCTAAAATATATGGAAGTGAAATGACCATCTCTTCAAAAATAATTGTCTATTTTGATGTGGATATAGTTACTATGGCATAAAGTTTAGAAATTTTAAACTGAATAGCTCTGGAGCTATTCAAAATATGGTCCCCATATAATTTTCAACATATTGTCACCCCACTCCCACTCTCATGGACCCTATACATCAACCAAAATGAACTGTTGTCCTCTCTTCCAACATGCCATGCACTTATCCATACCAATACTTTGACCCACTATTTTCTCCATCTGCAGGTCTTCTTATTTTGACCAGTCTGCCAAAATTCTTCTGGTTCCTAAAGTCTAGTTCAGATCTCACCTTCTCTAAGTCTTTTCTCTTTTTCCCAACAGAATGTGACATTAGTCCCTTACCATTTCCCTTTATAAAATGCATCAGCATGCCACTGATTCCATTGTGTCACTGATACATGTGGCATTGTGTTCTTGATGTTCTTTAATACCTCCTATTAAACTGTAAAACTTTTTTAAAGCAGGGATTCTTATATGCATTTTTAAATCTTCCGTTGTGCCTAGGTGCTTAATAATTTTGGCAAATTTTGGAATTGATTATGAAGCTGTGACATGATTTATATCCTCAGGGTGTTGTCCCTTCTACATGAAGATAATGTTACTGACTCATTGTGAGCAAGACGTATGCCTTTGGGAGTGTGTTTTGTTTTGTTTTAATAATGCATTAATTTTATGCTAACAATAATGCCATAATAGTAATACTAATAAAAATTGCTTTTAATTGGAATATTTAATGAGTTTATTATTCATAATCCATTTACTCTTAGCACAACTTTAGGAACTGAAATTTTGAAACAGAATCACATTGCATAGCTGGTCCATTCATTTCAACATTGCAATTTTTAGTAATTCTAAGGTTATAGCATGGTAATTCATTTGCACCTCCTTACCGAACCAAATATGCCCTTATAATGAATCACTTGACTAGAGATCCAGGGATGAGAATTCCTCCCTGAATGGTACAGAAATTAAGACAGAATTGGCCATGTACTATCAGAGAGCATTTGCCACCAAGGTCAACAGAAAATGGCTTGTCCATTAGAGAACTTTGCATTCAAATAAATGTGGATAGAAAGTGTCTGGGAAAAATTAAACTTCTGAATATGTACAAGTTTTCTTGTCATTATTCCCTCAACAACACAGTACAGCAACTATTTATATAGCACTTACTTGATGTTAAGCATTATAATTAATCTACAAATGGGAAGGTATGTATATGTATTGTATGGCATATTTTATAGGGGACCTGAGGATTTGCAGATTTTGGTATCTATGATGAATCATGGAACCAGTATGAAAGAATAGGAGCAGATGACTATATTTGAGAATTCAAGGAAATGGAATACATAGTTGGCAGAAGGAAAGGAAAAACAGGATAGCAGCTAGTTATATTTTAAGGATAACTCTCAGAAGAAAATATTGTTTACAAAGCTTTGTAATTTAGCTTATGGCTTTGGGTTGTAAACTTGAGAATGAACTTCTGTTTATTTCAAGAGGTGCTTTTTATCTCCAAGTGCAATCTTTGATTCCCATTTATGTCATCAGTCTATATCACTTTCTCCAATTCCATTTGTTATTTCAAAATAATTCTGAATTTATAGTAACATTTCAAGTATAAATAAAGCACAAATAACATCCATATAACCTTTACTCAGACTCACCTATTATCACCTCATTTGCTCAATTATTTGAATGTCCAACCTCTCTGTATGTACACATACAAAATAATTTTCATCTACCTAGAGTTGCACCCATCAATTATTAATGCTAGATTCAGTATTTGTAGACTCCCTCTTTTTAAATCATTTTTTGACTTTGTTAGTACATGCTTTCAGTACATAATGATTATGTTCACTGTAGAGAATTGGTACGTGTATATAACCATGTTTCACCTCTCTCATAATAGCATAGGGCTGGTGATGTCTTTTAGCGACCAAACATTTGCCTGCACAGTATTTCAACATTAAATTGGTGATAATGTTAAGTTTTTTTATACTTTCCATTATAAATACATAAAATTTACATTTTGTATGTTGAAACTCAAAGCTTTGCACTCATAAACAGATTTGGAAATAAAGCATGTTATAACTTAGATAATTTTTACAAATTGGTCCATATAAAAACCTAGGCAATATTGTCAATTTAAATAGACCTATCAAATTTTTCCATTTAAATTTCTGAGTAAAGTTTAAGAGTGAAATCATTTTCTAGAAATTAACGTCAACATTAATCCTAGATGTAACCCTAATCTGACTTTTGTGACAATCATATTTTTGCTTTTGTTTATAGGTTTATTTCCTTTATCAGCAAATTCAAACAGCATTGTTTAACTGGTATTTGAACTTTCTATACTTTATTAACTTGAAATTGTGATTTTTCTCTCACTCTGCATTGTGAAATTCATTCAGGTTGTTGCGCATAACTGTATTTGGTTCATTTTTAGTGTCAGACAGTATACCACTGTATGAGAATACAATTTATCCATGATAACTTTGAGAAGAATCCTTGCTTTCAGGTTTTGACTATAACAAGAGTGAAGTCACGAATATTCATGGTATTTTACATACCATGGGTGTCTCTAGGGTGTCCTCATAAGAATGATGTTATTGGTTTATGGAGTATTGTCACTTTCATTTTAAGTTGATAATGGCTAGCTTTTCCTAATGCTATGAACTAATTTACACCCTTAACATTTATGTCCAACAAGACCCATGCTCCACCTGCTGGCAAACACTTGGTATTACTAGACATTTTTTGTCTATTCAGTAGCTATTTTTGCTTAAAATGGCATTGCATAGTTAGATTTTCGTGATTACCACTGACGTTGACCATCTTTTCATATGTTTGTCGGACATTTGGATTTCCTATTTAATGCAGTATTTGTTCAAGACATTTTCCATTTTTTGTTTGGTGGGTGGATGAGTTTTTCAAATTAAATTGTGGGATTTTTTGTTCTAACTTCAGTCTCTTGTCATTTGCTCTTATCCTGTGTGGCATATATTTCCTTACTGGGTCATTTATTTTTTCATTTTATTGATGATTTCTTTTAGTAAGCAGAATTTATAACAATATATAGGTAAATTTATCAATCCTTTTCTTTATTGCAAGTGCTTTATTTGATCTTTTTTCCCAAAGAAATTCTTCTTTACTTCAACATCAGAATACTGTCAGATACGAAATATCTATATTTTGTCTTTTGTATTTAGGTCATTAATATTCTTCATATTAATTTTTTTGTGTAGAGTGTAAGAAATTCAATTCTCTTCTTAAAACAAATACCAACTGCCCTAATGTCATTTGTTGAAAAGTTTTTCCCTCCTCATTTATAAAGACAACCATGCCAAATACAAGCATTAATATATTCATGGGAGGGGGCTGGGGATTTAGTTCAGCGGCACAAGCACCTGCTTTGCAAACAGGCAGTCGTGAGTTCGATCCCTGGTACCGATGAAAAGGAAAAAGACAAAAAAAACATATATTCATAGGATTATTTCTTGACCACTTTTTTTTATTCCAAGGGTGTGTTTATTCAATGTTGTGCCAATGTGACATTAGCTTATTACTGTAGCTTTGAAATAAGTCTTCATTGATAATGGAGAAATTCTTCCCATCTCATTTTTATTCCCCAAGACTTTCTTACCTATTTGTATCATAGCTACAAAAATAGAGATTTTATTTTATACAAAATGCTGAGATTTTAATTTCAGCAAAATAACTGTTGATCTTTAATGTGAACAAACAAATGGTTGAAATTATAATTTTAAATTTCTCAAAATTTGGTAAGATTCCTCATAGTGCTTAATGATCTGCTGTTTTTATTAGTTTCTTTCATTTTTATGAAGTAGTGACAGTAAAGAGGATTATCATGAATGTAATTATAATGAGTTTCTTATAGATAATGATTTTTTGTTTTGTTTCAAGAGAAAAATGCACATTTCCTAAGAAATTTATTATTTGCATTGATCCCTTATGTTAACATGTGCAATATTACATACATTGATCAACATAATAAAATATATCATTAAAATGGCAGTAGTTCATTAGGCTTTCAAAAGGTAAACACCAAATCTTAAAATACATTGCGATAAGAGTATTGAGATAGAGCACAAAAACTCAAGACATCTGTAACCAAAAGCCTACTTGAAATTTTCACTGGGATGTAGGTATTTCAAACTTAATCTGTAAAGACTGAACATTTTATTTCCTCTATCAATTTGTTCCTAATTTTTGCACTTCGAGTTTTATCATTTTCTGGTATGTCAGCCCACATATCCTAATGTATCAGGGAATGGACTCTCATTCACTGCTCTAGTTCCTGTGCCTAGACTGTCTTACACGTAAGTGTTCAATAACTATTTGTAGAATAAATGGATTCGATTCTCCAACAATGTTCAATTAAAAATTGTTCAGTAATATGTACAAAATAGCATATATTGAAATGAAGTAAAAATATTCATCCTTATTTCTATTATTGGACCAGTAGGCATTACTCAATCCCTATTTATTTGCAAATCACGTATTAGCATTTTAATGAGCCCCCTTGTCCTGTGGCTTAAAGCCACCAGGACACAGGCGGCCCCCCCCCAACACCCCTAATCTTCTCCTCAGCTGTTCTGCTGAAGAATTAGGCCTTCACGATGACAGGCTGCTTTGGGAACTTTCCCTTCCCAAAACCTTTGTAGTAGCCTGATCTTACTACATCAATGATGGAAGCTACTCCAGTCTTATTTTTGGAAGCATTTACTCGCGTCTGCTCACTGACCAATATCCACAAATTATCCAGGTTGACAGTTGGGCAGCAGTTCTGGTTTCTCTTTTAAGTACCAACCTTCCCAAAGTAACCTGGGTGATATTTGTCGAAGTTTTGCCTGTGGTGATGCATGCCTCCAGCATTACCATGGCCTCGCATGCGCTTCCGGTGCTTGCAGATGAGGCCCTGGCTGTGGCTAACGTGGCCTCGAAGTTTCCGGGTTTTCCTTAGTCTGGATGGCATGATGGCATGTCGGCAGCTGAGATGAAAGAGTAGTCCCTATTTATTTTGTATCAGAACAATTGCTATAACTTTTTAGTAGGCCTGGTTTCCACCTTCCAGTATGAAAAGCTTATACAACATAAAGTCCAAATCACATAGCGTATCATCCAAGTTTCTCCATGATCTGATGTGAGGTTACCTTTCCACCCAGTTTTTCTTACTTAAATATCATGCATCCCCACTTTTCAACCACACAAGACTACTGCGTATTTCCTGGGTGTTCTCTACACTTACCAGCCTGCTTATTTCCATTTCTTCCTGCAATCCCCTTGCACTCATTGCTTTCCTAACCAAATTCTACACATTCTTACAATCCAAATTAAATGTTATTTTCTGTATGCAGTTTTCTTTGACTCTTCCAGGCAGGACTGGTTTTTCCTCCTTTCCATTTTACCCCATTACTTATTAATCTTTTTTTTTTAATTTTGAAGAGAAGAAGATAAAAATAGAAAAAATCCCTTTCAAGTCAGGCTAATAGAAGAGTAACAATATTTAATACATTGTGTATTGTCTCCATAGTACTTACGGAGAATACAAGACAGAGGCATGAAATATTGTCCAAATAATACTAATATAAAACTTTCTTTTCAATGAATTAAGAAAAACTAGCTGTATTGCTATCTTGACTATCTTGTGTGTGTGTGTGTGTGTGTGTGTATATATATATATATATATATCCTTTTCTCTTCCGCCCT